TCTACTGAGTATATTTATCAGCCATTTGTGTTTTCATATCTGTGAAATGCCTGCTTAAGTGTTTTACTCACTTTTCTATGAGGCTGTTTATTCTATGTATTTGCAAGAAATCTTTTTGAGATACTAACTCTTCACCTATTACACATGCTGCAAATAATTCCCCCCATGTTTTAAACTCGTCTTTTCACTTTTTTTGAACAGAAATATTTAATTATAATGTAATCAGAATTATGAAGTTTTACGTTTTGTACTTTCTTTTTTGTTTTGTTCAACTTTAAGAAATAATTTTCCCAAAGGTCATAAAGACAATCCCCATATTATTTTCTAAAAGTTTTATAGTATAGCCATTCACCTTTAAGTCTTTAGTCTGCCTGAAATTCATTTTTGTCTAAGGGGAGTAAGAAGGATTCAATTTTTCCATGTGCATATCAAGCTTTTCTTGCCCCGTTTATCTATAGTACTATCTCTGACATAAATCAATTTTCCATAGATGCATGAATTCTAGGCTCTCTATTCTGTTTTATTGGTTGTGGTGTTTTTATGCATCCCTGTATTAATACCATACTATAAATAAATCTTGATATATGTCTGGGCATAATCAAAAGAAAAGACAAATCTTGTTCTCCCAAAGCATCTTTGCTCTTACACACACATCCTATATAATAAAAGCATAGTATGGAAACTGTCCCCTCAACCGAGAGTTCATCTGGGAGTTTGACCAGGGAGCAGGGCCAGCTGGGGGGAAGGGAGGGAGGCCCCAGCAGTGGCAGATAGCTGAGGGAAGGGAGGGAGTACCCAGCCAGCAGCTGCTAGGGACCCTACCAGTGCACGAATTTAGTGCACTGGGCCTCTAGTTTTAAAATAAGCTTGTCTAATAAGAAATCTTGTTTAGGTTTTAATTGGAATATCATTGACTCTACTGATCAATTTTGGAAGAAATGACATTACTATTTAGTCTTCCTATCTGTGAATATAGTATATCTCTCCATTTATTCATGTCATTAGTATCTTTCAGTAAAGGTTTATAATTTTTCCCCATGAGGGTTTTATACATCTTAAAGTATTTATTCTAAGGTACTTTATAATTTTTCAATTACTACATGGTATCTTTAAAAGGTACATTTTGATTCACTGCTATTATGTTTAAAATGGTGTTGAGGATAATGATAATGATAATAATGGCTAACATTTAGCACTAACACTTACTAGGTACCCCTTCTCCAAGTGAGTTAGTTATATATTAATCAATTTAATCCTCATAATATCCCTATGAGACACCCTTAGTTTAAATTAGAAAAGGAAGTTCAGGAAGTTAAATAATGTGCCCAAGGGTACAAATGGGAGGAAACCAAGATGGCGGCATAGGTAAACACTGGAAATTGCTGCCTCCCACAACAACTTCAAAAATACAACGAAAAGACAAAACGGACATCATCCAGACTACAGGAAGGCTGGCTGAGTGGAAATTCTACAACTAGAAGGAAAGAGAAAAGCACACTGAGACTCAGAGGAGCTGCGGAAGTAAAGTGCAGAGGTACAGCTTGAGTGCGCGCGTGGAAAGGGGCTGGCACTTGAGAACACGGCTGTCTTTTTGAATCGGGAGGGAGTCACAAGCCCCCAGCTGCTCTGAACTCCAGTTCCCGGGAAGTCTCTGGGGACCCAG